AAAAATACACAATATATCCCTCCAAACTGCCAATATCCAAACCCCTCCTTTAGAGTGCAGGCATTGTACTTCCCATTTCCAGGACTCAAGTCCGGTTATATAAAATAACTGGTTTCCCCGATTTTTTTTTTTTTTTTTCAACAAGTCGGTCGTCTCCCACCGAATCCCTTCACTAAATATTACCCTGCTCACACTCCAACAGCTCATCAGGTCCCAAATACCATTTGTCTCTATTCACTCCTATCTAACACGCTGACGCATGCTTGCTGGAAGTCCAAACCCCTCGCCCACAACACCTCCTGTACCCCCTCCCTCCAACCTTTTCGAGGATGACCCCTACCCCACCTTCCTTCCCCTACAGATTTATACACTCTCCATGTCATTCTACTTTGATCCATTCTCTCTAAATGACCAAACCACCTCAAACCCTCTTCAGCCCTCTGACTAATACTTTTATTAACTCCACACCTCCTAATTTCCACACTCCGAATTTTCTGCATAATATTTGCACCACACATTGCCCTTAGACAGGACATCTCCACTGCCTCCAACCGCCTCCTCGCTGCAGCATTTACAACCCAAGCTTCACGCCCATATAAGAGTGTTGGTACTACTATACTTTCATACATTCCCTTCTTTGCCTCCATAGATGACATCTTTTTCCTCCACATATACCTCAGTGCACCACTCACCTTTTTTCCTTCATCAGTTCTATGATTAATCTAATCCTTCATAAATCCATCTGCTGACATGTCAACTCCCAAATATCTGAAAACATTCACTTCTTCTATACTCCTCCCCAATTTGATATCCAATTTTTCTTTATGTAAATCATATGATGCCCTCATCACCTTACTCTTCTATGTTCACTTTCAACTTTCTACCTTTACACACACACCCAAATTCATCCACTAACCTTTGGAATTTTTCTTTAGAATCTCCCATAAGCACAGTATCATAAGCATAAAGTAACTGTGTCACTTCCCATTTTGTATTTAATTCCCCATAATTTAATCCCACCTCTCTCCCGAACATCCTAGCATTTACTTCTTTTACAACCCCATCTATAAATACAGTGGACCCTCGACCAGCGATGGCATCGATTAACGATAAATCTGACTAGCGATGCATTTTATCGCAAAAATTTCGCCTCGATTAGCACTAAAAAACTCGACCAACACCATTCGTTCCGTCTGAGACGCGTCCACTTCTGGCCAGTGTTTACAAGCCAGCCAGCCACCGAGGTCGCTTCCAAGCATACAATCGGAACATTTCCTATTATCACAGCCTTTTTAGTGATTGCACCTGCAAAATAAGTCACCATGGGCCCCAAGAAAGCTTCTAGTGCCAGCCCTACAGCAAAAAGGGTGAGAATTACTATGGATATGAAGAAAGAGATCATTGCTAAATATGAAAGTGGAGTGCATGTCTCCGAGCTGGCCAGGTTGTACACAAAACCCCAATCAACCATCGCTACTATTGTGGCCAAGAAAACGGCAATCTAGGAAGCTGTTCTTGCCAAAGGTGCAACTATGTTTTCGAAACTGAGGTCGCAAGTGATAGAAGATGTTGAAAGACTGTTATTGGTATGGATAAACGAAAAACAGATAGCAGGAGATAGCATCTCTCAAGCGATCATATGTGAAAAGGCTAGGAAGTTGCATGACGATTTAATTAGAAAAATGCCAGCAACTAGTGGTGATGTGAGTGAATTTAAGGCCAGCAAAGGTTGGTTTGAGAGATTTAAGAATCATAGTGGCATACATAGTGTGATAAGGCATGGTGAGGCTGCCAGTTTGGACCAAAAAGCAGCTGAAAAATATGTGCAGGAATTCAAGGAGTACATAGACAGTGAAGGACTGAAACCTGAACAAGTGTTTAATGGTGACACTGACAATGTTGTGAAACACTTTAGGAATGTCATAAAGGAACGGGAGGTACAGGCCTCTATGGGCAGATATGTTGTGCGACAGAGGTCCAGTGACTCTCAAGCTGGTCCTAGTGGCATTAAAAGAAGAAGGGAAGTAACCCGGAAAAAGGACTTGCCACCTCAAGTCCTAATGGAAGGGGATTCCCCTTCTAAACACTAAGACCATCAACACATCCCCTCTTCCCATCCCATCAATCATCACCAATCTTCAATAAAGGTAAGTGTCATGTAACTGTGCATGTCTTCTTCAGTTTGTGTGTATTAAAATTAATATTTCATGTGTTAAATTTTTTTTTTTCAATACTTTTGGGTGTCTTGCACGGATTAATTTGATTTCCATTATTTCTTATGGGGAAAATTAACTTGACTAACGATTATTCTGACTAACGATGAGCTCTCAGGAATGGATTAATAGCGTTAGTCGAGGGTCCACTGTATATTAAACAACCATGGTGACATTACACATCCCTGTCTAAGACCTACTTTTACCGGGTAGTAGTCTCCCTCTCTTCTACACACCCTAACCTGAGCCTCACTATCCTCATAAAAACTCTTTACAGCATTTAGTAACTTACCACCTATTCCATATACTTGCAACATCTGCCACATTGCTCCTCTATCCACTCTATCATATGCTTTTTCTAAATCCATAAATGCAATAAAAACTTCCCTACCTTTATCTAAATACTGTTCACATATATGCTTCAATGTAAACACTTGATCTACACATCCCCTACCCACTCTAAAACCTCCTTGCTCATCCACAATTCTACATTCTGTCTTACCTCTAATTCTTTCAATAATAACCCTACCGTATACTTTTCCTGGTATACTCAGTAAACTTATTCCTCTATAATTTTTGCAATCTCTTTTTGTCCCCCTTCCCTTTATATAAAGACACTATACATGCTCTCCGCCAATCCCTAGGTACCTTCCCCTCTTTCATACATTTATTAAACAAAAATACCAACCACTCCAACACTATGTCCCACCCTGCTTTTAATATTTCTGTCATGATCCCGTCAGTTCCAGCTGCTTTACCCCCTTTCATTCTACGTAATGCCTCACGCACCTCCCCCAAACTCACATCCTGCTCTTCTTCACTCCTAAAAGATGGTATACATCCCTGGCCAGTGCATGAAATTACCGCCTCCCTTTCTTCGTTGACATTTAAAAGTTAATCAAAATATTCTCGCCATCTACCCAATACCTCCATCTCCCCATCTACTAATGCCCCTACTCTGTTTTTAACTGACAAATCCATTCATTCCTTAGGCTTTCTTAACTTGTTTAACTCACTCCAAAATTTTTTCTTATGTTCATTAAAATTTCTTGACAGTGCCTTTCCCACTCTATCATCCACTCTCCTTTTGCACTCTCTTCACCTTTCTTTTACTCTCCATATACTTTACTCTTCTTGTAACACTTCTGCTTTGTAAATACCTCTCATAAGCTACCTTTTTCTCTTTTATCACACCCTTTACTTCATCATTCCACCAATCACTCCTCTTTCCTCCTGCACCTACCCTCCTGTAACCACAAATTTCTTCCCCACATTCTAATACTGCATTTTTAAAACTATTCCAACCTTCTTCAACCCCCTCACTACTCATACTTGCACCAGCCCACCTTTCTGCCAATAATTGGTTATATTTCACCTGAACTTCCTCCTCCCTTAGTTTATACACTTTCACCTCCCTCTTACTTCTTGTTGCCATTTTCCTCTTATCCCATCTACCTCTTACTCTAACTGTAGCTACAATTAGATAATGATCCGATATATCAGTTGCCCCTCTATAAATGTGTACGTCCTGGAGCCTACCCATCAACCTTTTATCCACTAATACATAATCTAACAAACTACTTTCATTATGTGCTATATCATACCTTGTATATTTATTTATCCTCTTTTTCATAAAATATGTATTACTTATTACTTATTACTGAAGGGGGGTTGTTAATGTTGCAGTTTAAAAACTGTAGTGTAAAGCACCCTTCTGGCAAGACAGTGATGGAGTGAATGATGGTGAAAGTTTTTCTTTTTCGGGCCACCCTGCCTTGGTGGGAATCGGCCAGTGTGATAATAATAATATTACCAAACCTCTTTCTACATATAGCTCAATTAAAGGCTCCCCATTTTCATTTACCCCTGGCACCCCAAATTTACCTACTACTTCCTCCACATTATTTTTACCCACTTTAGCATTAAAATCCCCAACCACAAGTACTCTCACACTTGGTTCAAAACTCCCCACGCATTCACTCAACATTTCCCAAAATCTCTCTCTCTCCTCTATACTTCTCTCTTCCCCAGGTGCATATATGCTTACTATAACCCACTTCTCAGTATGGTTATCCCTTTCAAATAACTCAGTGTTTACTTGTTCTTGCTTGTTAGTTGACTTTAATAATTATTGTTTTTTTTGTAAAAGCGTTCCTTACATGTAAAGGAATGGAGAGTAATTCACTTAGGCTACTCTACCTTGAGTATGCTATATGGCCCATATGGGTTTAGCACTTTCCCATGAAGATAATAATATTCTACCATTAAATAAAAAAAAAATCATATTTTGCAATTTATTAATCTCTTGAGTTTTTCAAGCATTTTCATGGAATATAAAATTAAGCTATTTTTGGCTACAAAGCATTAATTGGATTGAAAATGAGTGATGTTAGTGCTGTTGGTCTATAATTGTTTGCTGTTGCTTTATTGCTACACTGTACTTTCATAAAGTGGGCCTATAAGAATATTGGTATGTGTGTAAATTGTCTTTTTTTTTTTTTTTTACTCGGCATACACTACTATACACACTATTTGTGTTAGTTTATTTACCTTAACACTTAGTATGTACTATATAATTCTCCTTAACATGCTTTGATACTGTTCATTAGGGACAGTATTAGTTCTTTTTAATAAACATTTTGAAAAAATATTTTTGAGAATTACATAATACAGGTTTATATTTTTAGTGTCAGACTAGCTGACCTTATTGCCCTTACTTTTGTGTTTCTATTTACAGAATTTGTTCCTACCTAAAAGATCTGTACAAAATGCCTTGTTTTTCTTCAGGTTACAAAAAAGTTGCTATAAAAGGAGATATTAATGTAAACTTAGTCAGTCATGGATAGTCGTAATGGATCAAAGCATATCTCAAGAATTCGCATCTTGAGCCTTGGTAACCCTGGAGTGGGCAAGGTAATAATTCTCATTATTACTGAGTGTAAATATGATTGTTTTGATGTTTAAAATCTAACACTTTAAGCAGTATGTAATTTTTTGAATTATTTTTTTATTTTAACTACATATTGTTTCAAATTTTTTTGAGAAAATTATGACAGAAGATTTTTTTATAAATAATAATTGTTTCACTACAGTGTTTTATTTTTCAGAGCTGCCTGATAAAAAGATACTGTGAAAATCGTTTTGTTAGCAAATATATACCTACCGTTGGTATTGACTATGGTTCAACAACTGTCGATGTTGATGGCCGTAAAATCTCTGTGCACTTCTTTGACACTTCTGGTAGCCCATTATTTGAAGAGGTATGTACGTATATCTATATGTGCAATACTTTGGTCATGGTAATGACGGCAAGTAATTCACATAATACTATATTATTACTAAATACGTAATGTCTTTAAATTAGCAATCATTTGTATTTCTGGATAGCTTTTTCTACTATAGAGTACTGTACAGTGTTTGAGCATTCTGTACAGAGTGCCTTGAGTGCTGTAGTCATTATTCATTGCTTACCTTTGATATACCTTTGAAGAATTTCGAGAGTATATCTACTCTCTGAGCCCGGCCATGGGCCAGGCTTGTCTGGTGCTTGCCTGGTCAACCAGGCTGTTGCTGCTGGAGGCCCGCTGCCCCACATATCCATCACAGCCTGGTTGATCTGGCACCTGGTGAAGTTACTTTTCTAGTTTCCTCTTGAAGGCTTCAACACTTGTTCCAGCAGTGTTTCTGATATCTTCTGGTAAGATGTTGAAAAGTCTGGGGCCCCGGATGTTGATACAGTGTTCCCTTATTGTCCCCACCGCACCCATGCTCCTCACTGGGTTTATTTTACACTTTCTCCCATATCTCTCACTCCAGTATGTTGTTATGGCAGTGTGCAGATTTGGGACCAAGCCCTCGAGTACCTTCCAGGTATATATTTTCATGTACCTCTTTTTCCTCTGCTCCAGTGAGTACATGTTCAAGACTTGCAGGCATTCCCAGTAGTTTAGGTGCTTTACTGGCTCAATGTGAGCCGTAAACGATCTCTGTATTTGTTCCAGCTCCGATATTTCTCCTGCCCTGAACGGGGCCGTCAGCACTGAGCAATATTCTAAGTGAGGGAGCACTAGCGATTTGAAGAGTGTCACCATCGGCATTGTTTCCCTTGTTTTGAAAGTTCTCAATACCCATCCAGTCATTTTCCTGGCTGTCGTGATCTTTGTCTTGTTATGGTCTTTAGAAGAAAGGTCAGCTGACATAATTATTCCTAGGTCTTTTACGTGTTCCTTACATTCTATTTGGTGACCCTCTTGAGTTTTGTATATAGTGCTCCTTTTGAGTTCTTCATTCTTTCCATACCTAAGCAGCTGGAACTTATCACCATTGAATGTCATGTTGTTTTCCACTGCCCACTGGAAAACTCTGTTTGTCTTCCTGTACTTTTTCAGTGTCCTCTACCATACTGACTTTCATCTGCAAATGATGATACAAAAATGTGCCGGGTGTTTTTGTCTATGTCTGCTATGAGGATGAGGAACAGTAGAGGTGCCAGGACAGTGCCTTGGGGCACTGAGCTTTTGACCTCGCTGATGCTGGATCTTGTCCTGTTCACTACCACTTTTTGTGTTCTATGTGTTAGGAAACCGAAAATCCATCTGCCTACCTTCCCCGTAATGACCATGGCCTTCATTTTGTGTGCTATCACTCCATGATCGCATTTGTCAAATGCCTTTGCAAAATCTTTGTAAATCACATCTGCATTTTGGTCGTCTTCCAGTGCCTCCGTAATTCTGTCATAATGGTTCAGCAGCTATGACAGACATGATCGTCCTGCTCTAAAACCATGCTGGTTTGGGTTATGTTGGTTGTGCTGGTCCATGAAATTTGTAACCTGCCATCTCATCTTTCGAAGATTTTTATGATGTGAGAGGTTAGGGCTACTGGTCTGTAATTTTTAGCTAGTGCTCTACTACCTCCCTTGTGCAAAGGAGTTATGTCTGCACTCTTTAAGGCCTCCGGTATTTCACCTAGATCTAAGCTCTTTGCTCATCATTGTTACAATCTCAAATTTACAGGAAGCTCTCAGATTTATCCGTACCCTTCATTTGTAACTAAAAAATCATTGAGCATGAAAATGCAGGGACAAATTTAGCGTCCTAATTTGTACATGATTTAGCCAGTGTATGTGGAAGGTCCAGTGTCTCCACTCTGAAGGAAGGGTGGAGGTATGTTGGCAGATCCTTTTGATATTAGATGGAATATTGGGCAGACATATCCTCATTTCTTCCTCGACTAATTGTAGCCTTTTCCTCGTTAATTTTTATGTTTGTAGAAATGGTGACTTATAGAAATTTACTTTCCCATCATAATGCCCCTTGACTTAATGTTAATCATGCGCAGTGGAACCTTGACTTATGAGTTTAATCCGTTCCGTGGCCTAGCTCATAACTCAATTTACTCGTATGTCAAATCAATTTTCCTTATTTAAATTAATTGAAAAGCCATTAATCTGTACCTGCACTCTGGAGACAAGACAAAATACTTAAATACGACAGCTTATTTATCTATCACAATTCATCTTACATAATAAACAATATAATTAACACAGAAACATGATATATACTTTAGAATGAATAAAATAGACCATAATATGGTGTCAGAGGCAGCGGCGGAAGCATCCGCCATTTCCTGTCCAACTTTGACTATAGTATCTTCCTGTGCTTTTATTGTAAGAGAAAACAGAGTATTTGTGAGGCTAACTACAGTAGATCACTAGTTTTCTAAGGAAAACACTGAAAATATAGTGTATATAAAACATAATAAATCATAATACACTACAGAATGTAAAGAAATATTAAACTGTTTATATAAAATGTATATGTACTTGGAGCATAGATGGTAACTCATAAAATTTATTTTATTACTAAACTTAACTGATACAATCTGTTTTGTTTAATCGTTGAACTTTAATGATACAACTTGTTTTGTTTAACTTTTCACTTCTTTCACTTGTTTTTACTTTTCACTGATTTTTGGCTTTTTCTCAACGCTCTTCTCACTTTCCTCTGCAGGACATTTCAATAAAAACCTGTCCAAGGAGGTTTGTTTCAGCCTCCCTTTCAGAATGTTTTGGAAATGTGTTAGGCAAGTGTCATTAAATAGCTCTGATGCACGACCAATTGCAACTTTCTGTGGGTGTTTTCTTTCAATAAACTCTGAGAGTTTCTCCCAGATTCCCAGCATTTCCTTTATGTCACTGGCAGAGATAACCTCCTCCACATCTGCCTCCTCCGTGGTACGAATGTCCTTCAAAACTTCATGATGCTGCTGCATATGTAGTTCGTCTAACTCCTCCGTTGTCAGCTCCTCGGAGTGCTCCTTGATGAGCTCGTTCACATCTTCATCCACCTCCATGCCCATGGACTTTCCGAGGGACACAATCTCATCTACCACTTCTGCTTTGGGTTCAAATCCTTTGAAGTCCCTTTGAGACACAATCTCAGGCCACAGCTTCTTCCACACAGAGGTCAAGGTCCTCCTTGTAACACCCTGCTAGGCCAGGCATATCACGATGTTATAGTGGTCCTTCCAGAACTATCAAAGAGTCGAGTTTGTGTTCTCCGTCACGTCAAAGCAGCGGTGGGACAGATGCTTGGTGAAGAGCTTCTTGAAATTAGAAATCACCTGCTGGTCCATGGGCTGCAAGATAGGGGTGGTGTTGGGTGAAAGGAAGAGAACCATAATAAACTTGAACTCTTCAAGGATGTCATCTTCAAGGTTCAGTGGGTGAGCAGGTGCATTGTCCAGGACGAGAAGGGCTTGCAGGGGTAGGTTAATTTCCTGGAGATACTTCTTAATGGCAGGACCAAATATCAGGTTTTCCCACTCCACAAAGAACTGCCTGGTGACCCATACCTTCGGGTTTGCCCTCCACATAACCTGCAGTTTTTCTTTTAGAATCTTAAGCAACTCAAAGGCTCTGGGGTTTTCCAAATGATATACCAGCAGTGGCTTGATCTTGCAGTCGCCACTCGCACTGGCACACAATGCAAGGGTTAACCTATTCTTCATGGGTTTGTGGCCTGGCATCTTCTTCTCCTCTGCAGTTATGTAAGTCCTCCCTGGCATCTTCTTCCAGAAGAGCCCTGTCTCGTCACAGTTGAAGATGTGCAGAGGGATGTATCCTTTAGCTGCTATCACTTCTGCAAAAGTTTTGAGGAAATCCTCAGCTGCCTTCACATCAGAGCTCACTCCCTCACCATGCCTGTTGACAGAGTGAATGCTGGCCCTCCTTTTAAAATTGTCAAACCAGCCCCGACTGGCTTTAAACGACTTTTCCAGTGCCTTGTCCGCTGAAATGCCTGGGGTTTGCTGTAGCAAATCAGCGTAAATGCCTCGTGCCTTCTCACAGATGATACCCTCAGTCACGGTATCTCCTGCGAGCTGCTTCTTTCTCAACCACGTCAGCAGCAGCTTCTCCCTCTTTTCATGGACAGAGGTTCACAGCTTAGAAATTATCGTAACGCCATTGGCTGGCACTGTAGCCTTTATCGACTCCTGCTGCTTTAGTATCGTACATATAGTAGATGTACTTCGTTGGTATTGTCTGGCTAAATCCAGAACTCGTGCACCTTGCTTATGTTTATTTATGATTTCATGCTTTAACCATTTGGGGGTCGCCAGGCCCTCTCAGAGACTTGTTCTCAGGGTTGCCAAAATTTAAAAAAAAAAAAAAAAAAATTTCTCATGAAAAGATAGATGATCTTTTCCCAATCATAATGACACCAAAAGTATGAAATTTGATGGAAAACTAACAGAATTATGCTCTCGTGAAGTTAGCGGTCTCGACGATGTTTACGCATTGGTGATTTTGCCCACTTTGAGCCCTATTTTCGGCCAATTCCAGTGTACTAGTCGACAAAAATCATAACTATTTCGCTAGAACTTCATTTTTTCTATTCTATCGAATGAGTACAAGAAACCACCCATTTACCGATTTCAACTATCCAATAAAGCGGTCAGAATTTAGCAATTTTGCCAATTTCACACAAATTTCAAAAGATGCCAATTTCCAAATAGGGTCCAGAATAAACAAGAAAGACATTCCTGGCACTAAAATAACAAGTTCTTTGTTCGTTAGTGACATCCCCAGGCCCCTCTTATATTTATTTGGCTTTCCACTTTGAATTTTTATTCTTACAAAAAATAGAAGATTTAGTTTTATGCAGACTACTGCATTAGTGTAGAAATGGTATAAATAATATCAGCGCACATGTGAAAGAATATTAGACTCGCCATTTGACGTGTGTTGGACGCTTGG